GCGGTATATGTTAGGACTTGCAAAGAGGAGAAAGACAAAAGACAAACTTTCGCAAAATGTTCAAACAGGTAGACACAGCAATAAAAGTATGTGGTCGACGGACTAACAGTGAACCTAGCGATTAGAAAACATATGTTTTGAAGCAGTGCTTAGCTAGAGTAGTTTCAAGACCTCGTGGCGGACGAGTTTGAGCATCACTGCGCATCGGATCCGACCAAACTCAGCGGCGGGCGTAGAGGGGTAGAGGCTATTGTCTGTTCCGAAAAAGTATCCACTTTTCATTAGTCGTTTCGAGCAGGTACATACATCTCTTAGTCGTGCGTACTATTATAGTGGTCCAACTCTGACTTCGTTTTTATGGCACTGCAATCTCAGTTACCGCAAGTATTATGAACCCTATTGAATATGTAAATAGCCGTGGCATAAATCATCTTAAAGGTTTACGGACGCATACGGCCCTATGTAGTGCAGACAGTTGGTCCCTTGATGGTTTATGACCGCTGGATTACTTGCGGCACAGGCCTATTGTGGAACACTCAACTCCTTCACAATAGGATGCAGTCATAAAAACGAACCAGCATTTACAGCACTATACCTAGAAGTTTGGGTTTAGCGAAGACGGTCAACGTATTTAGGACGGTGTTGCAACCGATCGTTTAACCAGAGCACTACCGACCGCCTGTACTAGACTCCACCTCGCGCATCTCGTCCGCCACGAGATCTTGAAACCACTCTAGTATTTTATATGTATTAGAAGTTGTAATTTGGTGTTAATGCTTGTAGCTTGACTCAAAATGCAAAAAAATCGAAACCAGTCCATGTTAGAAAGCAAAAATTATCTGAGGCATGTACATACTCTATCACATCCTGTATATGACTAACTTCTATTATGTTGTTATTTGAATTTCGAAAATCGCTTTATAACGCATTCACGACCTTTTTAGATCGCAGCAAGCCATGGAAATCTAGTAACTGGGTTGAAAAGCAACATTAGTAAGCTAGAGGTCCTTGAGAAAAGCTGGCATTCTTTATGTCGATTGGATCGTCACCTATTTAAAGTTATGAACTGACAGAAACCTAACCACTGTTGCCGGCTTAAACATGTAAATATGTCTAAACAATAAACACTATCGTTATTAAACGAATTAACAATAACTAATCATTATTGGAGGACCTACTGCTGCAAGATTTATACTATTATCTTTGTCACTTCTTTTGAAACAGCACCTGTTGATTTTGCCTAAAATTTAACAATTAGTAACAGCTTTCGGTTGATTGAGAACGGCCTTTAGTTAGAAAATCGTCTGAAAATGAATGTTACCAAATTTACGTTCAACATGTGGAGTTTCAATAGAAATGGCAAAAAACATAGGTGTATTTCAGTTGCAAGAAATTCTTTTGCAACGGAAGACATTTTAAATTTCAAATAAAGCGAAATTTGGCAATTGCCAAATTTCAAAAATTTTTGGTGAGTAAAAGTTGCAGGAATTTGTAAATTGTTCCATAAGTTTTCAGTGTATTTTTTTTGCATGATTATTCTGCAAACTTAAAGATTTTTTTCTACCGCCCACGTTTTTTGGTTTTCTAATAGAGCTATTAACGCACGCAAATGACGTCACAGCAGTTCGTTAATAGCGGAAAGGCGTTCTTTAATAGATCTGGTGTAATTTAGATCTGTAAGATTGGTAGCAATGACGAGAAACGTCAGGTGAATGTCAGTGGCAAATGTAAACTTAAAATTTCCCACGTTTCCGGACGCGTAACTTCTTCGCAAGACATTTTAACCAATTTTAAATTACAAAAACTCGAATTGATTCGAATTACAATTGTTGTTGTGAAAATTCGAACCTCAAATATTTCGTGGTTAGTGTCAGACCAACCCATCACCAACCACGACAAAAGTCCCCAGATAAAAAAAAATGCAAATTTCAATTAAATTTTGGGAAAAAACGTGTGCGGTAGAAAAAATAGTATAAATACCTCGTTCATAAGGCCATTGAGGCACTCATCCTTTATATAACTCGCGGCTTCGCCGCTCGTTCTATAAACTTGGATTCGTGCCTCAATATTTGCCTTATGAAACTCGTTCTTTAATATACTATTTCCGAATGGTAAATCTACTATCTAAAAGTAAATCTTATCTCAGGGACTTTAATTTTGAAAAAATGATTATCCTATCTGGCAAGATGCATTTAATTATCAAGAATTGTAGCTATTTTCACTTACTAATAATTTAATTCGTTGTATAAACCTGAGCTGCCAGTATCATCATTCACATTCTGAATTAAATTCCTCCAATGAAATAATGAATATTCTCAAATAACAAATTTCTCATGTGTTTTTTGCGATCACCTGAAATAAGTTCTGTACAATGTTTACTAAAATTTTTCACGTCTATTTTTTAAATTTTTGTATGAAGGCTCAAAAGTTATGTGTTTGTTATAAATTATAAAAATAAATTTACAAAATCTCTACGCCATTTCAATGGGGTCACAGTGACAATGATCATTTCTAAAAAGTTGAATTAAAAAAATCCCGCGGTTGTTTTTTCGAAAAATTTTGATCAATTCTGTGTTACTCAACCACTTGACTTTTTCTACTAAAAAATGTGAGTGGTTTGTCCAACTACATCGAATGGTATGATGTAATATCCATTACCATAACACATCTTCGTTGCAACTTGTTCAAAGGAGGAATAAGCTGATTAACCACCAAAATTTTAAAAAGTATCCGCCAATCGTTTTGTAGTAATCTCTGTTATTTGCGAATTTCATAAAAAGTTACATCTTTCTAAAAAGCTCAAATGACAAGATTGTATCTCTTTGAACCTTCACTTGTACCTTTGCTGGGATTACTTTTCAAATATGAATTGTTCACCCAACGACGAAGGGAAGACCCTTTGGTAAGTAAACTCATGTTTTGTCGAGGTACACAAATGTTACATCTTCACTACAAGTTGAAGAAATTTTCTTAAAAAAGTAATTTTAACTATAATGACATATTTTTATTTACATGAGAATTTGCAATTGTTTACTTCCCTGTGTTTGTAACCCAAACACAGACTTAATAATTTTGAAAAGTGTTGTTCTTTCTCCCTGAAATTGTAACTGTTTCTGCGCATCAGCAAGTTTGTCTACAGTAAGAATGAATTTTTTCATTATATTGGCAAATAGGTCATTGCAGTTTTTTTTGTTGTTTACAAAATCATCAAAAATTTCGGTTGGTTTTCTTTTGCCAGAGAATGTAGTTGATAAAGTTTCGTCAGTCACGGTGGTAAAAAAAAAATACCTACTAACGTTTAAAAAGGTTGTGAATATATTTAATATATTACTTTTATGCAATGTTTTTTTGGAAAGCGATTTTTTTCGGTATTTCCATTTACTTATATAAAATTCTCTTGTGCCTATGTTTGCTTCAAAATCTACCTAGTTGACAAGCTACTTATTTAGGGATAATTGCTGACACCCACATAATAAATGTTCTTTATTAATTTCGAAGATTTTCTTCTAACGAAATGGGTAAATATTGGTAAGAAATTCTTATTTACGTCTATAATGAAATTCTGTCGCTGTTACATTATTATCAAGGCACAAAAAAAATGTAGACACAACGCATAGCTCTGTATCAAATTATCTCAAGAAAAACTGAATTTGTTTAAGTACCTACCATAAACTGATATGTACTATCAGCTTAGTCATTGAGTATAAATACTATTTTAACAAGACGAGGCAATTTATTTTAAATATTAAGTTACACAAACCAAACTAATATTTGCTATGCTTTTCTCTCGATTCAAATTTATCCAATTTTAAAAGGGACAATAGAAACGATAGGTTTTAACCTAAGTGAGTCCCTCCTTGTGCACTAGCGGGGTGTTCAGTAAAGTTTCAGAATCTAATATTTCCGTTGTTAACAAACTTATTGCAATGAAATTTTAAATATAAATTGTCCACAAGTTATACTATATAACACAGTAACAGTTTTTTTTTAACAGTTTACCATCATTTTTTTTCTAAGTTCTGAAATTTTCCAACACGTATTTTTAAAATCCAATACATAAATTATTTATGGAAATTTCGAAACGCGGTTTTCACCATGCGATTTATTTTGTTGAAAATGAGATACAGCAAAAGCAGCTTCTTCGACACAAGCTTCTTTTTAGTATAGGATTGTTACGTATAATTTCTTAAGTTCTAATTCTTAAGTATCATTTCATAACTAGTTGGAAACATAGCGTAATGTTCACAGGCACGAATTTACTTTATTCTGTAAGTACGTAAGTATTTAACTAAGAGTCGTGTACAGTAATAATAATTTGTTTGTGTTTGGATAAAGTCGGTATCTTTCGACACCCTGAATTTATTTTCTGTGTTTTTAAAACAGTGTCTTTACAGTACTGTTCAATATATGTATATTTTATTTACTAAATCGGAAATTTTGCAAAATTGCGAGGTGGTCTTACGATGAATAATGAAACAGCAAAATACACGTTCGTTTCAATATTCAATGTCAAGTATTCATTGGGGTACAAGTTAAACATAGGTATTAATATAACAACGACTAAATATTCAATATTTTGCATATTTTACTTATTTATGAAGTTTAACTATTTAACAATTCTATCCAAGGTGTTATTGAAGATATTGGCACACGTCAGTAAGCAACCTTAGACGTATTTTGTGATACAACCATAACCTTTGCCAAATTTTTACTGACACAATGCTTGAATCGTTGACGTTGTTTTCTAAACAAAAAAAAAGTGAACTTTAAACTGTACTGAATTATGAAGACAATGGTTAAAAATGGTGACGTCCCAGCATCATGCATTTGCGTAACGTATTCATTGCAAAGGAAAGCTTATAATGTGTCTCGGGATTGTGGCTTTTTTTATCTCTTTACATAAGAATTTATAAATTGGATGTCTTCTACGTCTTTCGTCCCTGTCCATTTATCCAAAGTATATATTACAACATCGTTTCTACAAAGACAGAATAACTTACCTTTGCTATTTCGCGTGCTGCGTCTCAGCACTGCTCCACTCCGCGTAAGCCGTGAGGGCTCTTGCTCCTCGCGAGTAGTTGGCTGGCTGCTCGTCGCCCCCAGCGCTACGAGTTCACGTTTTCCTCGTTCTGATGTCGATTTTCTTGAGTGAGAGTAACCAGATTCGGAATTTTGTTGAATCAAACTGCGACTATGACTTCGAAGCGGATACTTATGCACGTGCGATTGTCTTTCGGAACTATCGTCTGAATTCGTCGGATCTACCTCGTACTTTTTGTGATTGCAGTTTAACTCGTTTTTATTTCTGCTGCGATCTGAACGTTTATGGTTATGCTTCTGTTTAACGGAATCTTTAATATCCAATTTATATCTGAAAAATATATATGTTATCATTTTACACATACAACTAGCAATCAAAAAAAAAAAAAAAAACAATTCAGTTTTATTCGCGAAGTTCCGGGAAAGCGGGCTATTTTAAAAAGGCTATGGTGTAAGCAGGTATATGATATTCAATTAATGGCAGACAATTACAGTTGATGTCTGCGTTCAGCAGAAAACACTGAATACATATACATACAACTACAGCTAAAACAAAACCTTCGTTAGATAGATATGAATTAAAAGTTGATGTTTAATTAATTAAATTATTATTTATCATTATGACTCTTAATACTTTTTCCAATTCCCATATGTTTACTCTGTACCTTTTATTGAACACAAATGTGAACGGTCATTGGCCTTTTGTTGAATCACGTGTTACCCTTTTTACGTCACAGTCCTTTGAAAATGTCGATTTCTCTGATGGATTAAATTAATTAACGGCATGCCTTTTCCAATGAAAGCATTTTTCAATTCTTATATTTTACATGTATTTGTATATTTGCATCTACTGGAAACTTTTTTGTTGCTTTTAATAGTGTTTATTTAGAATGAGAATTAGTATAAATCCTTTTTGTTCAATTTTTTTAACAGTTTTATAACACGTATTTGTGAATAGTTTAAAAAGGTTAATGTTACGTTATCGTGTTTCATATCCATAGCCTTGGCGCTACGCAGAAATCATAAAAGTCACATATTTACAAAATATATAATTTTTAGATACTTTCTGTACTAAGTAAAAAAGACATGTTGTTTGTTATAACTAGTAGTGATGGTGATTGTTGTTATATTTATATATTGTCATATGAGAATAATTTGTATATCGAATAGCATAAATATTTCATATTTATTCAAACATCATCGGGTGTTGCTTATGAGCGACGTTTTCCTATCTTCTAATGATGAGTACTTTCACAGATGGTAATAGAAACGAGTATGAACATATTGTTGCAGTTATCAAATAGGAAAAAAAATAAACAAGATGACTATAATTTTGATATTTTTCAGGAAACAAAAATACGGTTCAATGTTTAAAATATAATATTTATAACCGAAAAAATGTTCACAAACATAAGATTGTGAATGTGAATCCGACCACTCCACTGCCATTTAGGCAAAAAATTAATAATATTCAAACTTTTATCATTACTGTTACTGACATCGAGTTTTAACCTGGTAAGTCGAACATTAAAAAAAGAGATTATCTTCTCATGAGCTTTCAGATGACGTGCGCAAGGTATTAAAACGTCCCACAAAGAGACGCAAATAGTAATGAAAACTACAAATCAGAATTCATGAATGTTATAAAAGGCTTCGTTTCATCAAAAGTTTTGTCAATAGGAAGCATCCATACACTGAGCATACTTTTTTTTTAGATTCAGGCCTAAATTTTACTGCAACATGAATGTATACATGAGCATTAATAAAAACAAAAAGTTGCTAAAAATGTTCTGTATATTATTGTACTTTATTTGTTATCTAGATACTTTTAATAATGCATTTTGTTTTATCATTTAAATCTAAAACGAATAAAATTATCAAAAATCATCTTAAAGATAATAGAAATCGAGTTATCATTGACTATTATTATATCGTGCATTTATATTACTAAATTCAGTTGATAATGGTGCACTCAAAATATGATGGTGTTAATTGTATATCATTGCGTCAAAATTTTTATTGTGCTAAAATAAAAAACTTAATTTATTTATACTCACACGATGAGCAAAATACCAACGATGTTGGTAAATGTTTTGTTTCAAAAAGAAGCAAAACAACTTTACAATAAAAATATCAATTTCTTTGAGAATCTTCCAATATTCAGGCGTAACACATTACATATTATTCACTGTACACCTTAAAACATATAGATCAAAGCAATATAAAATTCGTAGTATGCAGTGCTGTACTAAAATGAGTCTGCATGCTCCACTGTTATATTAGATTCTGATCTGAATTTGACACAGATTTCGAGTTTAAAAATGATTAGATTACAAATTATCTTGATCACAGGATACATGTTCACTTACGATTTTAAATAACAAAATATAACGAAGCTGGATACAGTGTGTGGAAATTACCCAATTGCGGAATAAATTTAATTATTTAAAGATAATGATATAGAGCAGGTACATAATTCATTTTGTTTTATTTTATCTCAAGTTACTGTGATAGATGTTATATAATATGATTAATGTTTGAAATTTAACAATTTCCATCTAGTCTTTAAATCTGACTGAGTTTGTTGCCTCAAATGGTCTAATTTATGTTAAAATGTTAATTTTTCATATTAGTGTTTTAATTTTTCATAGTTTTTAAAATAAATAAAAAAAAATTGGTCCAAAGTTATTTAGGCCGATTTTTTTAGGCTCTAAAACATAACCAATGCATGTTGGGCTGTATTTTGTAATAAAGGATTATATGGCAATTTTTGATTAAGAATAAAATTGTAAAATTTTAAAATTAAAATTATATGAAATAACGGGACCTTTCATAATCAAAATACAGTGTCACCTAGTTATATAGAATTGGATAGTATATCTTTTAAAAGGCGGCTCTGCTCGTCCAACAATTCATTAATAAAACTATAATAAACAAATATACATTTGAACAGTCTGTGATTATGAAGTTAAAGTCAATCTACTGCCAAAATTTCAACCAAGTTCATTATGTACGTTTCAAGATAAATTTAAATTTCATTCTACAATTTTACTTTTAGATCTCCTGACAAGTAATCTCCGAAACTACTGGACAGATTAGTGTGTCATTTAAATATAACTTGTCTATTCCTTTCTTTTTACAATGCAAAGGCAGTTGTTAAAAAGTTTAGTTTTTTTTAGTAAAATTTATGCGTCACGCATCTTTAAAAATAGGAGTTTCTATAACACAAGCTTCTTTTACCGTTTCTCATTTCCAACAAAAAAAGTCGACACCTAGTTTTGTAAGCTGAAAACAGTGATGAAACTAGCGTTCCGAAGTTTCCATAAATATTTGAAAAATTAATTTTTAAAAATAGTGATGCAAAAATTTATCAAAATTAAAAAAATATGTTGTAAAAAAAATTGCTCGCGCATTATAATAATGAAAGTTATATTTAAAATTTCATAATAATTAAGTCTGTTAATGAGGGATATGTACTACATTCTGAAAATTATTTATTAAACACCTAACATTAATATTTGCTGTGTGTCTTTTTTGGATACTTCCTTAGAACTAGCGGAATTGTTGTCCTTCATAGTGTAACCTTGGATTGATGATGTTAGAAAACTTTCTTGACAAAAAATAAATGTATGGCCACGATAAAACAAAAAGAAAAGGAAGATGAGGAGACCTCATCAAATGTAGCTCTCCTAACTCTAACAACTTCAATAAATTCATCATTTTTGTAAAGTTTACTTTAAGCTATAAAAATAATTTTGTGCATGTGGTGTGATCACAGACACCAAAATTGAAGTATTTAGATTTTTATTATCCCTTAATCTATTGTAGAAATGAGAAAGTATTAAAACATGTACTACATACTGAAAAAAATTACGCGAATTGAAACATATTTGCAAACCAGAAATAATTTGAAAACAAGTATACACACCTAATTCGGAGTTTTCCTAACCTATGTGATGTATCGGACTTTTCAGCTGTGTCCCACTGATCCTCTGATTCCCCTGTGTAGGATGTAGGAGAACTTGAGCTTTTCCTAAATTTCTTTAACTTATGTTTAGAAGAAGTAGATGACTTTGAAGTACTTGCTTCGGTATTGAAACTATCTACTGAGCTTGATGAAGGTTCTGGATCACTTTTCAAGTTATCAATATTGTTATGTCTATGATTTATGACTTCGCTTTTCTTGAAGTTGCGTCTCTGTCTAGTAACCTCAGGTAGTTCTAACTCAAAAATGTCAGGATGAGATCTTGAAGTTCTAGATGTCGATGGAATAACTTGTTTGTTCCGTAATTGTTTAGAGGTCGATGGTGCTGTAAACTCGTTTTTATTTGTTTTTGGGGTTCTATGGGTTGCTTTTCTGTGAGGGTGTTTATTATCAGCCAGATCGATTTCAGTGTTGTCCACCTGAAACGGAATGCGTCCGTCAGTCACTAAGGTTAGAAAAATGGCAGGATGGTGTTACGTTGGGTGATGATATCTTTCTGCGAGAATGTCTAGTTTTCGAGTCTTCTTCTTTTTGTGTTCGAAGGCGCTTGGCCTCAGGACGTGGCTGCGGGGGCAGCACACGCTTGCGGCGGCTTGTGCTGGCAGCAGCGTTTGCGTTAGCTGGATCTGCCATAGACGAAGCGTTCCAGACACCTCCACTTACCAGCGACACTCATTCCCTTTTAATTCAGCGTGCTCTTTTTTTGTTATGTTTGTGAACTGAAATGTAGTCGTGTGATTAATTACAAATTTTATGTCTTATGACATGGCCAAACCAATCAATTTAAAAATCTATCTTTGACAAATCAAATATTTGCCTTGAGTCATCAAGTCGTATAAATAAACAATTGCAAGAAAATGTCAGATTGTTTAAAAATTTCTACTTGAACTAAAACATCCAACAAAATTTTCCAAGAAGAAATACATGGCGAACGTCTGATTAACTATTTCTAAAAATAATCGCCATAATTGAATGTGTTTGGAGACAAGGCAATTTCAATTTCATGGACAAAGGCATAGCAGCTCCATTACATGGGCACAAATATGACATTGGATATCAAAATGCAATAAAACTATCAGTTGACTGTGGTAGGTACGGATGTTGAACGAGCCTTCAAACTCATTTATCCCTATTTTTCCACATCACCTACCTATTATATACATCATATCACTACTTTTTCTCCACACCTTATCGCCCTAAACTTACAAAAACTAATTGGAAATGTCCAAAATGAATAAATTTTGGGAGACACTGTCAAGTTTGCAGCACGACTGCCCTGTAACCATATAACTAAAAAATCCCATTCACACAACTGAAAAATTCGCAGAACCAGTTCCAAGAAACCAGTCAGACCCTTCAACACACCAAACAACTTTTGCACCCTGACTAAAGTCGACACAAAACTTACAATAAATACGATTAAACTGCGAATTTGTTCACAAAAATTTTATATCCATGGCGCACCATAATCGTTCTGTTTTAGTGTGATAAGCGAGTTTTACAATAATAAAGGTGAATGTCGCGCCATCTGTACAGCTTTTAACTAACGCACAACAGTTTTCGGCAATCGGCAACATTTACAGTCTCGGTAGCGGATACCTATTTTGTCTATTTTACTGTTGTCGATATTTCAGGTCAACTGTTTCAAAAATTCAATTAAACTGTCATTTCCGTTAAAATAATAATTAATAAATATGTATAAGACGGACCAGATGTTCCAGATGAGTGTCTTCCCTACAATTTTAAATAAAATTAATTTATACAACAAACGACAATAATTATAAACGCAATTTCAAATCAAAACAGCTCGAGGTCAAATTTAGTCGTTACATAAACTGTTCGTTATTGTGTATTTATATAGCTCTATACAGCAACCCTTTAGCTTGCATAATGTAAAATAAAACAACGGAATAAAATTTAATTTACCTTTGTGTTTAAAGTTGGCAGAAAGTTACACTCGAACAAAGTTTTGTATCAAGATGGACTGAGTAGAAGCGAACACCAACAGGGTTTGTAAGTAGTTTGAAGCGTCACCATACCTTTTAAAAATTTACACGTATATTTTTTTTATTATTAACACTTTCTAGTCCACTGAAATAATGAAATTTTAAGAAATTACTTCGATTATGTTATTGCAAATTATGTCGATGCAGTAGGCCATGATTGTGCAACTCAGCTTTAGATTTAGTTACGAAAAAGGAACTAGATGTCAATTTCATCAGTTTAAGGATATGGTTAAAAAATCATTGAATCCTTATTCTAAAAAAAAAAAACACGCAGAAAGATGTTCGTGATAATACCGACAAACTGACGTTCCCTTTTGTTTAAAAACGGCATTGCTTTTATTATAAAAAATAAATAAGCAAATTTAAAACGACGAAGATTACACCATCGATTGATACACCTGTTTATTACGAGACAATTAAAATGTCAGCAAAGAATTTTCTTATAATTTTAAAATTGCTAGATGTACCTACTGCCAACTTTATCTAGATTTTTCACAGCCATCTACGTCGACAACAATTTTGAAATAACACAAAATTTTCTACGTCTACAAAATTTCATTTTTGTGTAGAAATAAGTGTCAAGAGGGTTGCACCGAGGATCGGGACAGGACAGGATTCACATGAGAGGAAGCACGGTAATTAATAATTATAGTTACTATGATGTAAGAAATTTATTTGTAGAATTGTAAAAAATTAAATGAAATAATAAATATTAAATACATAAGTTACATTTTTACACAGAACATGAAGAGAAAAAATAGTTCTAATAAATTACAAAACAAAATAGCAAATAAAATACTACATACACTGACTGGCAAAAAAAACCTGCCACCCTGAAAAATTTTGCAAAACCAAACTTTAAAGATTATTAATTTAACTAGTGATCGTTATTTTATTAAAGAACCATTCACTATTGACACATGTTGTATAAATTAGCAAAAAAAAGAAGACAAATAAACGCAGAATTAAATTTAATTTAACAAAATAACCGAAACAGAGCGACAATTTGAGAGACGTCTGTAAGAGTTAATGGAATTGTTTTCGGGTGAAAACGTTTATTAATTGCAAAACTTGCAAATGATGAAAAACACTGTTTACAACAGTCTCCTTGATTGTTTTTTTTTTAAGAAAATATGGTACTTGATTTGTTTCTGTTACTTTGTTAAATTAAATTTAATTCTCCGTTTATTTGTTTTCCTTTTTTGCTAATTTGTACATCATGTGTTAATAGTGAATGGTTCTTTAATAAAATAACGATAACTAGTTAAATTAATAATTTTTAAAGTGGTTTTGCGAAATTTTTCAGGGTGGTCGTTTTTTTTTGCCGGTCAGTGTATTTAGGTAAGAAAAAATATGTAGGTATACTTCATTGCATTCTTCAATGTTAACAAAAATTGTGCTAGGTACTTTCTTTCGGGCGTGTTATTATTTTAAATTCAACAGGTAAGTAACTTATTAAAGCCTAGAGTAGTCAAAGCAATATTTGAGAAGGTAGGAAATTTGATAACCGTCTGTTAATTAGATGAATGTAAAAAGCATTCAACTTTTCAGACTAGAATAAGGTATGGAAATACTTTTCATTTCTTTGATTAAATCAGTAAACCTTGTACATGTGAATGTTAATAAATTAAATACATTAAAATCAAAATGGAAAGCCACAACTCAAATGATATACTAACACCGCTTTAATTGGGAAATTAATTGCAGTTCATGCTTATTGAGCTTCGATAAACCGATTTTTGATTTAATCGCGACATTATTAATGGCAGTTAAAAATACTGGAACAGCCTGAATTTTTTGCCGTCATGGAATCGTCTTTCACAGTTTTCACTCCTGTATTCTAGGCAACCCACCATTCATGACTAGGACTATAAACGTAAGCTTATTGACACGCAAGGTTTAACCAAAAAAATGAAAAATTGTCCCATAGTCTTCCCTAATCTGAAAAATTTTTCATCTAAAGTCGCGATCTTTTCTATGGAACCACTCCCTAGTGTAAATTTTCAAAATTTGTTTAGTGTAAGTGGCCTTGACGGGTTTCTGGGGGAAAACATATGTGTCAAAAATTTGACAGGTTAGATGGCCCCATTGTCAATGTAGATATTTTATTTTAATAAATAGATGAACAGAACATACAGTCTGCACGGGATACAGTGCGGCATAAATGAGGGCAACCGAAACATTCGTGTTGTGCTAGTTTCGATTGCCATATCAACTACCGCTACCAACCGCGTTCGACGTAAAGTACTAGATGACAGGGCTACCAACTTGACCTTTTATCGAGTGGTTCCGTAGAAATGACCGCTACTGTACAAATACATTGAAAATTCGAGGTTTTGCTCTAATAACTGAAAATGGCTTATAAAAATGTTTTCATTTTATCATTACATTTCAAATAAACTATCAATTTTATTGTTTACGAATACATTGTTAGGTTTTATAGAAAGATTTTTTAAATTATTATCATATAATATCTAACACTTATTAGTGAGACCTTGAAACGTCATTTTCATTATTAGCTTACATGGCGGGCCTCGTCCCAAGTTAATTTAATTGATTCAGTTTTGAAAATTTCAGTTGATATGGTTAAAATGGTATTTCCTTAAGTACGTAATGTCTTACCCATTTTTTTGGTTGAGTCACTAAGCGCGCGGGCTTCAATCATTAATTCTTAGAAATAGAAAGAAAAGTTAAAGACCAAATTTGTATGGTTCTTTCAGGAATATACTCTAAAATTATTTTTAATTACGCAGACTGTTCTGTTTTTAAGGCGTAACACTCAATTTGGTTCTTTTAATTGAAATGTCGTATATTTTTTTACATTTTCTCATTAGTCTCTTGTTAGACTTTATAACTACATGTTTTTTTAATTCCGATGCGACGTTGCCACGTTATTCCAATTTTCTTGAAATTTTTTGACAATGGAAGGATTCACAAAAATCGCAATAAGGTAATTTTTAAAAGCTGTGTTACAGTATATATTTTGTGGAAGGATAAGTAAAAGTCCGCAATTTTTTGTGGTATCAACTAAACCAAATTTTACTATACACTTATAAAAGTATAAACCGCAACAACTATCAACTTTAAATATGAAAAATACTTAACAAAAAACACAGACAACAAAAAATAGAAAAATTTGAAAATTGTAAAACATAATTTATTTTTTTTTATAAACACTCTGTATAATAAGACTCAATTTTATTTATACTATAACAAAACGCATACCTGTATTTATGTCTCCATAAAATATTGCATCACAAATTAAAAAAATAACCCTACTGCGATTTTTTATGAACCCTTCTAACGCTAAAAAATTTCAAGAAAATTGGAATAACATGGCAACATCGCAATGGATTTTTAAAAATAAAAAGCGTTTCGCCTCTCGTATGGTTGACATACTGAGTTACCGTGTCGTACGTTGCCTTATTCTTAACCTTGCTCCTGAAGATGCCACTTACGAAAGTGTGCGAAACGTTGAGCCCAAAAACTCAGTTAACACTGTTCCAACCCGGAAAACGATAATGTAAAAATAAACTTTGGTTGTAAAGCGTTAGAAGGGGTGAATTAGAATATGTAAGAATTGTGTTACATTTGAAAAAAACTAAGTTGTGTGTTATACTTTAAACACAGAACACTCTGTATACTTGAAAGTAAGATCGGGATTAACTTTTTACTACCCGAGCGTAGGCGAAGGAAATATTGTAATCGAGTCCGTCAAACGACTCTCTACTTTTACGTTTTCTCAACCTTTCATGACCCCAACAGTACGAAGAAATAGGTCTCCCGTTCCCATCTGTCTCTCTGTCTGTCCGTCTGTCCGTCTGTCCGTCTATCCGCCTGTCCGTCTGTCTGCCATCACGGATTTTTATTAGACAGATAATCTCCGAAAGTACTGGGCGATTGTTGTCAAATTTTGTATTTACTCGTATATTAGAAATATCATGTAGATGCTAAAACGCTAACCAAAATTTGTCTAATCATCCTCACCAACATAATGTGATGACGTCACTTCAAAATTGTACATAGTAAATGGGTTCTAAATTGTATAAAATAACATAGTCCTACATCCCTGGTCCTACACATGTAGTTTATGGCTCCGAATTGAGTTTTTACCCGAAACGTCTAGATTTTTGGAAAAAAAAATCAAAATTATGAAAGAACATTTTGTAATTTAATTTTGAATCTGCAAAACCGAATGCTTTGACATCTTGCAGATGGTTTACAGTTATGATAAGCATGATAAAGTTTTAATCAAAATATATTTATTTATTCCCTCCAAAAAATTGATGACATCAGCTCAAAAGTTTGACGAATAAATCCTATCTAAAGTGTGCAAAATATGATGAGTCTGTACTTGTGATTTATCATTACATTAATAATTTTTGGATTTGCA